GTAGTAGTAGTAGTAGTAATAACAAATATAGCAGTAGCAGCAACCAGGCAATAGCAGCAGGAGGGAAGCTGGTTGGCCTTTGTTAGGATTTTGTTTCTAAGGTTTTGTCCACGCCGGTTGAAGATTGATGGTTTTGCTGGCTGCAGCTTGGAACATTGCGGTTTCGGATTTAGCTGTTTGTTTAGACATGAACTGAAGAACGAATCTCCATCCTAACTAAACGTCAAGAGTTGCCCCTGGACCCCATGTCAACGGTGAACTCCACGGTCCCAATGGATTGGGGAAAGATACGCAAACTCTTGGTTTACGTGTCAGGGCTTCGAAGTTTAGGGGTTTAGGGTTTAGGAGGCATGACTGCAACTTTGGATTCGTGAAGGCTTCTGCAGTGCGGCTGACTGTCATTGTTTCAGCCCGCAATGCAGCAACCATGGCATGCACGGAGCTTCCTGCCGGACGATTGAGACAGCTGTGATGCATTTTCCGGTATTGCATGTACTTGGCTTCGTGGTTGCGTGCTGAGAGGGCGAAGCTCCGGAACCTCAAAATTTGTCATGGCATCCTTCCAGCATAATTTGGCGCCGACGCCCAGTCGCTAAGACCTCATCGGTCGCATACCTTTCCACTCGCTGGTGAGCTGCACGCTTGATAGAACTCCTGGTGATCTCCATAGCACACCCTCCGCCCCTAAACACAAGCCGCGAGCTCTAGCCCTCTAACCCTTCAACTCACCCCTGCACTCCGAAGCCCTAAACTCCCGGACCCCAGATTCATCCAACCCCTAAGCCACAACTGAGGCTGGGTGTCTGGCTCCAGGCTCTGGCTCTGTTGCACCCCAGTCAGGGTGGAGGCCCGGCTGTGATATCGATGGCAATATGGGAGTTTCCGACAATCCGACGACGCCTACGACGATGACCGTGTTGAGACAGCGATGACGACTGCATTCGCATGACCAGTTTGCTCGATTCCCGCCCCCTTGTTTTTGCTTGTTTGATTGATTGCCGTGTTCATCAGCAGTTTTACTATGTACTTATAGTACCCTATAGTACCCTCCACATCCGCACATGTCGGGTGATTGCTAGAATCTGCGAGAAGATTCAGATCCCGCCTGACTTTGCCTTGGGGCCTTTATTTGGTTCTTTGGTTTTCTTTGGCTTCTTGGTTTTCTGGAAGGACTCACTGTGAAGCCTTTGCCATGCTCAGGCCTGCAGAGGGACGCTGTGTCGTTCGCTGCAGCGGCTGGGGCCTGCCGGGAGGCCTTGAGAGAGATTTGGGCTGACTGCGAATGGTCCTGAATAACAAGTAACGATTGTCTAACATAGGCTTCTGTATCTGCTTTTATAGTATCCAGACCCCCCTCGCCCCCAATGGGACCGCAAGTCCTCATCAAGTCATTCACTCTCCTATGTTATCTGTCTTCGATGGCGTGGCGATGTCCCCTGTTCAGCAAATCCCGATCTCTTGCTCAGTACACGGAGTTCAAGCAGCAGATTGTTTGAGGTTCTTGCGTCTACGGTTTCTTGAAGTTCAGGCTTGATTTCCTGAGGAAGGTCTCTCGAATGGGATGCCACAGAACAAGTCTTCGATATACTGCAAGTGTCGAGAATAGCCAACGATTCTGGCACAATATCACAGAATCTATCATGTGAGCTTTTTCAAGAAGGGACAATGCTACAGTCGATATACTCACCCTTAACTGCAACCCTGCTTCGCGATTCGCTCAGCCATGCAGGAGGCAAAACTTAGCATACTATTGACCCTGGTGTATGTGGTTCTGTGAAGAAAACCTGAATCTCGAATTTGCGTACTATGCTCAAGCAGGCGAAGCGATGGCAGCACGTGCTCGCGCTTCGCGATCTGTCGGACTCTGCAGGCAACCCTTCAACACCTCAAGGGGTGCTGGATTCTCAAGGGCCTGGCGTCGTTCAACAGGTCCCTCTAGAATGCCTACATATGTACATATACATATATATATATACACACATACACACACACACACATACATACACTGTCTAGTTCTTCGCGGCTTCATGAAGGGGCGAACAAGACACGTCTTGTCGTACTCTCGTTGCCACAAGCAGGACAGCGGGCCCTGTTTCTGGAAGCAAAGCATCGCTGGTGCACCAAGAGGTACTGTATAAGGGTACTATAAGGCTATGTAGAAATCCCCTTAGCTTAACCGCAGCGCGGGGTTGAGTTCCACTCGTGTTAGCTTTGCCTGTCAAGCCTTGAAAGCCCGAACGGGACTGAGTCCCATGAATGAGTAGTCACGACATTTGAACACAGTGCCAACCTCGAGGGCATTTAGGAGCAGCTTTAGCAGAGTTTAGCAGCTTGCGCACTTGCTGTTGAAAGTGAAAGAAGCGTCCAGTTGTAAGCCCATGCCTTCGCCCTCCCGTCGCTGAATTGAGCAGTCGACTTCTTGAAGATCAAGCATGGCCTCTGGAAATCAGTTCGATAATCCACATGAGAGACGTATGAATGATGAACAACAGGGCATTATAAGGGGTACTATAAGGTTGCTGAAATGTTTCTATGTTCACGAACAGGTCAGGTTTTCTGTCAGCCTTGTACCCCTTCAGGGCGAGGCAGGGGCATTCGAGTGCAGAACTACCGGAACCCGTACAGCCCAAGTTTTGGGTTCAATCTTTCCAAAGAGCCTGGGGGTCGGAATGAATAGAAATGATGTCCCTTCATTCCCCTATATGTTAGCAGCATAAGTTTACTGCACACCAGCAGCCTGTCACAATTAGGTAGCATTTCCCGGCAGCTGCTTCGATTATCGGCCCCCACAGGCATGGAGTCCGAAATAATGCTCCAGAATGCCGCACAGTGTGCCTGGCGCACGGCCCGGCCGCCTGGATGCAAGGAAAGATTGCGGGCCCGAGTGCCCAAATCATGTTGCGAGGGACGATCGGATTGGTGGACGGGATTTAAGGGGCTGCTGCATGACTGAAGAATACTGAAGGTCGTTGTGAAAGGAAGTTTGAAGAGTTTTGCCACGGCTTTGCGAGCGATACTGATCGCATTCCAGCTGTTCCTGCAAGCCGGTCCGGATCAAGACCTACCACCTCGTGCATGGTCGATACTGTTGCTTTTGGACTTTATGGCTAGGCGGTTTAGGCAACACTGCAAGTTGTTGTTGGAAGTTGGCACGATACGGTCAGAAGCTTAAGATATCTGCCTACCAGCCTGGGGCAGAATGGGCAGCTCAGCTGCAAAGCAAGCATCCGAGGACCGGAGGTCGCCCCAAGAGACCCCCACCACCCCAAGCACTCACGACAGAGAAGTCCTAGATTCTGACAGCCTACTGTGGAGCCCGCAACAGTTGTAGAAGGGCTTACAAAAACGGCCTGATGAGGGGTTGGAAATGTCTAGATCCTGCGATGAACAAACTAAACCGTCCTGGCCGAATCCATCTGCGACTCGAAGTCCCAAAAACCGGTCTTGTATTCTGTCCTTCAATGCCCAACCCTTGAAAGCCGCATAACTGATGCCGCTTAGAGACACGAAAGATGTATTCGCTCGTCCTTGGCAGCGCGCAAGTATATGGGAGGACCTTTGCAATGCGGTGCAGGCCGGTGACCTGCACCTGGGATTGATTTATGTATACCCTCTTAGTAGTGTCTGGCAACGTACTGGTAATCTATAGTACATGTGCAAGCCCCCGAGCACCGTGAACCCTCAACCCTAAATACTAAGCCCT